ATGTGAAATTTTTCAACACTCCAGAACACGACAACTATTTCTCCCCAATTGTAATAAAGTTTCACGGCAAATATCAAATATGCAAATAGTAAAATTCAAATAATTCAAACTAAATATCAAATGTACGATTGGTAAAGAAAATAAAAATCAAATAATTCAATGCAATAAATATTCAATAAATACGATCAATCAATAAATGAAATTTTTGTCAAATGGAAAATTGTCAAAATAATTTAAAATTCAAAATTCATTCAAAATCTCCGGACCACCTGTAATTATTCCGGCTCTCCTTCCCTATTATCAAATGTAAAGCTTGCGATATTTTCAAGCCCCACGTTTTGGAAGCCAGTTAATGTGATATTAAAAGTCTGAGGTGCACCAAGCAATTAATTAGCTATTTATTAATCAATTAAACTTATTTAAATAATGTAATTATAATTCTATCACACTATTTAATTCTCTTATCTTAGAGTTATACTCGTGCTTCAATATCTATGCTTTACATATGATAGGTAAGGTCCAAAGAATACCGGAATAATAAATAACATATATGATACATTATATATTGAAATAAAATTCACACTCATATATCTTCAATAAAAAATATCTTATATAATGATTATTAAAATTTTGTTCTACGTACGTGAACCTTCAAAAATTATTGGTATATATAATATAAATTAAAAATTTCAAATCAAAATTGTTGTTCGAAATCTCCTGATCAAAATATTCCTATCTTTTCTAAAGCAATTGTTAAAAAACTGTGTTGTTAATAAAGAAAAACTGACGAATAGTAAAACTATCTCTCTGATGATGACTTGTCCAAATCCTTGTTCCTTGTAGCCTACACTATCTATTCTTAGCGGTCCCCTAGGTAATCAGCAATCTTACAACAAATTGTTGCGAGCCTATCGTCTTTAATGATCTCCTTCAAATGCCCGTATCGTTCAAATGATGCTAGCCACTTCTCTCGATAAAGTGAATCTCTCGCTCTAGTCTGAACAGTGACTCTTGGAATATAAGTAGAAAAATATAACTTACAATATTTTACTGGATCAGCTTCTGTCAGATACACTTACTCCACGACAACTCACAAACATTCACTTCTACTACTTACTACCTCTGGGAACCACCAGAGAACAACGACTGTTCGCCTTGCACCCTTGGAAAAACAACTGATTATCTTTTCTCCCTTAAAAATCCAGCTAAACTCTCATTCCTACATACCTATCCCAATTCTTTCAATCTCCTCCAATCAAAGTTCGTCACACTTATCCCCATCTACCATTTAGATTACAAACAACAATTTTACCTACAATTATAAATTACCAAAAAACTATTAACATGCTAATCGGTTTCTACAAATTCTTAAGAACTAATGGAGAATAATATTTTCTAAATATTTGTATTATATTGTCTTAATCACTGTATATCTCATTTTAAAGAATTTGCTAAGCTCTTTCAGCAAAATTGTGTAACTTTGTCATTTAATTTAGCGGTATTCGCCTTTAATACTTAAAATTAAATAGCGATGTTACATTGTTCATATAATATTTATAAGCAAAAAATGACGTTTAATATTGTGCATATTTTATTTATTACATATTTTTATCACCACCTGATTGTGTCACAAAAAGGCTTTTTTTGGTAATTTTTCTGGTCTAACAGTAATAAGATATATAATATTATGAATAACTTGTAGGTAATATGTTTATTATTACTTTATATATTGTATATAAAATAATAATAATTGACAATCAGTAAAATTGTCGTTCAGAATCGGTTAAAACCATTAACTACGAAAAAAATATAATTTAATTTATATATTTTTTAGTCAAATTAAGATGTCATCGAATAAATGGAAAAGTTTGTGGTGATAGCAATGAGCTCAGACACAAAAAAAAATTGCATTACTATTCAAAACAGCAGATTTAAATAAAATATCTATGTATGATGTAATATGATTTGTGTATTTACGCAGTCAATAAAATAGTCTGACATTCCAAAGATTTTCTAAACATTTAAAGTTTAGCTCACAAAATTCGTTTTTAATTTTTCTTTTATTTTTATTTACTTTTCACTATAGATATAAAAAATCTATAAAAAAAATAATAAATAAACAATAAACAATCTTTATTCAATTTAAAAAATAATATTTAAATTTTAATAATACAGAAAACTACTGTACCATTTCTTTTTTTTTTTTAATACCAGATACTAACGTTAAGTTGCAAAGCTGGTTGAAACTCAAAATCAATATAATTATAATATTCATAATAATATTTTTTTTTTCGCTTACCTCTATCCAAAGTATACATTTTCTGGCCTCACTGTAGGGAGCAAAGTCGTACTTTTTCTCCTTAGGGAGACAAAGTACTTTTACTCCCTAGTGAACAACATTAAGAAACACATAAAAATCGTATTGTTTCTAAAGTTTTCTGACAATTTTGCATTTGTTTGCAATTTTAAACACGTAATTCATGCATGTGCATTTGTTTTGCCAATAGTATCATAGGTCCTTTTCCAACTCCCCTTGATAGGGGATAGACAGCAAAAATCAAAGCGCCTATTAAAATCTCTTGCTTTTAATGTGTGAACGATTTTTGGTCTAAATGGCTTGTATTTATTTAGTTTCAAAATTCTTGCTATTGTATTTTTACTTACTGTTTATTGCATGGACGTATAAACACAGATGGACTCAGTTATTTACATAAAATTGTGAAGTCAAAATTATTTTAATAGGTCACATTCTCAGCACCTTCAACTGTTGTCACGTTTTGTTTTAAAATTTCTTATTCGCGAGTCGCTGAAAATATTACTCCGTATTTTATACTCTACTGTGCTATCAAACCAAAATAATAATTTATTGGTTAGATTAATATATTTAATTGTAATCAAATTATACTATGTGGACATAGTGTGCATTATCATGTAATAATAGCGTATAATACATATCAATCAATTATTTTATATGTAGAAGCACTGAAAACTATTTATAAATGGCAACGGTTGTTTACATTTCTCTGTCTTATGGATCTACGTCAAACTTCAAATGCTGTTCCATGTTTGTTTACTTTTTAGTAAAAGTAGTTTTTCGATATTTTTGCTGTATTTTGAGTGATATTTGTGAAAAGTTAAATTAAATAATAAACGAAATATTTATATCCCGATCTCTCATTTCATTTGTAAGTACATACAATTTACATTATTTAAGATGAGGAAATGAGGAAGCATGTTTGTTTACATTTTAATAGGCGTACCATTGGGTTTATTCATGTTCATTAATGTATTGAATAAGATACAAGTTCATGAAATTAGTAGACATTTTTAAATTGTAAGTAGACATCATCTGATTAAAAAAGAACTGTTTATTACCTTTTTAATTTAATATTGCAATGGATGCAAATAAATTAGTGAAATGAATAAAACTCATTTATTTTTCTATGTAGGTTTCCAAATAATATTGACGATCGAACTATTTTGGTAGCAAATTTAGGAGAAAACATAAAGATTTTTTATTGTAGCATTATTTTGATACCTATTAAAAATTAACTTGAATTCAACTATATCTTATTGTATTAATTTTAAAGCAAATAAAATTGTATTTTAATTTTTCTATAAAGACGTGATTTGTTATTAGTTAAACTCTCGTCTTTTTTTAAATTCTTTGAACGTGTTTTTATACATTATTACTACTTCCAATTTTTAAAATCTGAATAATTACCCGCGA